CAGCGACTCGCCAGGGCAAGCGCTATGTGCAAAATAGAGAAAGAACTTGGTTTGATTTCCAGGATCTAGATTCCAAGTTGTGTTTGCAGTATCAGCGATTTGTACATATGTATTTGTGTATGTATGTGTTTTTCTATATATCTTATTGTCCCAGAAATAGTTGAGGTTTGTTAGGGACCTTACAGTAGCATTGGAGGCTGGTTTGTCTACTTAAACAAAAATATTTTTACATTATGCTGTTTCAGCTAAATGTAAGTTTCCTAATTCTCGCCTCTTGCTTATGCTTCCTTTGTACAATGTGTTGCTGTTTTGATGTGTAGGTGTGAACACTTTCATTACCATTTTCAGTGATGAAGTCACTTTTGGATCACTGGACAGATATTGGCATTTCTCAACAGTATTTTCTCTCTGTTTTCATTAAATGGTGTTAACAGTGGCAAATTCAACCTTTCCAATTCTTTTCATTAGCACACAGTTCTTCAAAACAGTCCTTTCAAGAGGACGTTAGCAAATATGTGCCACGGAGCTATAGACACAGCTGAGCAAAAAGCACAAATTCTTCTGGTGCAAGCTGAATGTAGAATTTCTTTTGAATGTGATTATTTTCTCTATACTGCTGGCTTTGCTTTGCTGTCTCTGGCTGAACAGGTAACCTTGCAATGACTTCTGTGTGTCTACTTGGTTTTGAGACCAGTGATGCTATCAATAGGTCCTCTTCTTCAAAGGCACTATGTACCATAGAAATTTAAGCTACTCAGTCTGATAGGGACTGATGAGTGAACTACATGCCTAAAATTCATGTGAAGATGCAGACTTGCATAGGCCCAAAAATTCCATTTTTGATTAACAGTGGTCACAGTGTCAGTGTTGCTGATGTATGTTATGTCAATATACCTAGTAATTCTACTTCATTCATACATTTATACATCTGGAGAGCTGAGTGGCAGACCTGTTATGGGTAGTTAAGGTGTAAGCAAGCAGAGTTAAAGTTATGTGTTTAATCTTGATTTTCTGATTTACTTCTAAGTAAGCATCGTGTTTGTGTTGGGCCAGATCCTAGACTTGTAACATTTGCTTTCAATGTGTAGCTAGTTGGAATAAGGATTAAGTAGAAGGGCTGCAGAAGTTAGATTGTACTTAAACACTTTAACGAAGGGTGCCTCAGATGCTCCTAAAATAAACTGATGGAATATTTGGAGATTATCATGGATGTTTGTGGTACATGGCTTCTGCCCTGAAGAACATGAATATAAAGCCTCTGTTGAATACTGTATGTGGGATAATATTTCAAATAGACTGTTGAGCGTATGAGCAGATGATAACATTTTTGGATTTTAATGTATGGTAATATGCTCAAAGGAGTATTTAATACCTATGCCCATTTCTACAGTGTCCCACTTTTTAAAGTCTTGCCTTAAAATGATCAAATTTCCAGTTTTAACAAAACTGGAGTAATTAATACAGCTTTCTTTATCTTGTTCATTTTGCGTACAATTAACTAAAATGGTCCTTCACAACTATCCTTGTGAGCAATAGCTGAGTGAGCTTAACTGAAACTGGAGGGAGGCTTTTCTCTTTTGTTCCACCACACCTCAGTGGCTGGAATCTTTTGAGAAAAACTGCATCAGCATAAACATCCTCACCCTCAAACATATGCTGCAGGTCGTGCTGGCTATCTTTTAAACAGAAGATTTTGCAGACTTCAAGAGATACGTATTCGTTGTACCCTGTGTATAGGGACATTAACATAACATTTTCTTTGCTTGTTGGAAACCTGGTAGTGAGTCTGTGCCTCCAAGGGTGCAGTATTATTCAGTATTGTTTTGCTGAGGGCTGCACAGAAGGAAGGTGGATTGGGCAGGAGGAATATCTCAACCAGATCCACCTGGGTTTCTCATTGGTGTCTCAGCCAGGCACAAGAAAAAATGCCAGGTGTTCAGGCTGAACTAGGAGGAAAGCCTTGCAGAACGCTAGTACCTCTGTCCTGAAATGGTTGGGGATCAGACTTAAGAAGTTTTGCCAAAGCATAGTCCTCTCACAAGTAGCCAGTAGATAAGGGAGAGAGAAAGGTGGCATCTGAAGGATGTTTCATGCTCTTACTTTACACATTTCTTAGCTTTAGAAGAATGTCTTAGTACAAGTTTCATCCAAAACAGTGTTTTCCCATGGAAGATAGATTTTCTTCCATTGAATGCCTTTAGGCTATCACAACATCCTTGTATGGTAGAGTTTCACTTTTCATATTAAAAAAAAAGGAAGGAAGGAATCAGCTATTTCCTCAGTTTTACGGGAATGTAATTTGTTTTTCAAAGGTACTGAGACAGACTGAAGCCAGAAAAAGCCTGGGAGCAGAGCACCAGTATTATGTAGAAGTGTAGCAGGACTTTGTGTGACTGGGGAATAAGCTGGGTGGGGTGGGCTGGCACACCTCCTCCCATTGACAGTTCCCAAGTCCTCTTTTGACAGCACAAAATAGGTATGCTTGGCACCACTGCAAAGTGACTTAATGTATGTTGTATTGATGTGAGGATCTTGAAATACTGTGTGAATGTTTATTTGCTTGGCAAAAATTAGTATGATCAAGCTAAGGTCAGTACCATCTTCCTTGTGCATAAATGACTTAACTATTATGCAGGCCAAGAAAATTGCAAAACTGAGACTAAAATTGAGGAATGGTGTTTCCCCCCACACTGTAATCGCCAAATAACACTTTATTTAATCATTTATTTTAACTCTCCTTACAATTTATTTCATTTTGTACAATGTTTTAAATGTAAGTGTAATGATAAAAAGGATTAACAAATCCTACTGAACAGGTTCCCGAAGCCTCTACAAGCTAAAAGCATGACTGGGTATAATACAATACAAAAGAATAACAAAGTGGCATTTAGGATTTATAGCTGGATTACTTAATTGAATAGGAAAAAATTCAGCTTTTTTGTTTCGGTTTTGTTTTTTGCCCTCCAACATGGAAGCCCGCAGGTGCAGTTACAAGAATATACAAATGTCCTATCAGATAAGGAAAGAAACCTTTAAGGCCGATTATTAATGCAATTGTTAGTGCAACTGTGGAGCTGCCTACTAGCATGCTGTTGTTTTGTTTCTCAGTATATGCCCGGTGTCTTGCTTTCTGCCCTTCTGTCTCCATGGCATTCAATAATGCAATTCAAAGTGACCAGTGCGAGCATTTTTTGGCATGGTGAGAATGGCTGAGTGTTCCTGATCTGTGTTGCTGAGATGATTTATGGTGAAATTTACCCTCTGTTTAAGACACTCTAAGACATTGGGAATATTTTAAATGCATAGAAGTTTGTTTTTCCAGTGTAGGCGTACAAGCCTGAGTAATGTGCTCTAGGTGAGCCTGCTTGAGCAGGGAGGTTGGACGAGATCACCTCCTGTGGTCCCTTCCAACCTCAACCATTCTGTGATTTAATAGCTTCATTCAGCCTGTGTTAAGCTTTGTGTTTGTAGCAATTAAAATCTGTTGAGAAGGGAAAGGATAAAACTGCTGAAGCTTGATGTAGGCAGGAGCCAGACTTTTGGGTCTCTGTCTCTGCTGCTGCACCTTATTGGCATGTAGTGCAGTTAAATACTGTGTACTGCAACCCTTCCATTATCAAGAGGGATTTTTAACAAGGAATCTTCTAAAATGGTGCAAAGGCTTAATAGCCCTGATGTAAGTGCAAGGAAGATCCTTTTTTATCTGTGTAAGCTGGGCTAATGTAGGAGACCCTGGAAGACCAGATGTGAAAAGATGATGAAGAATTTGGCTGTGGAAAAGAAGGAGACAGGAAAAGGGACAAATTTCATACAGTGGAGCTAGATCATAGAGCTGTAAATCATTTGGATCGGAACTGGTAGTCAAAAAGGAATATGAACTCACATTTTGGGAAGGGTGAGGTATGATGACTGTAGAGTTTTGGCAGGAGACTGCTTGAAGCAAGCAAGAAGTGGGCTGGCGTAGATGCCTGATAAGAGGCTCAATGAGATGAAAAAATGGGTGGACTTGGAGAAGAACTGGGTGGACCTGATTGTTTTGGCACTTAGGTATTTGATGCTTGATTTCCAGGGCAGCAAAATTTTAATAGCCTATTGTTTGTTATTGGTTGGCTTCTTAGTGATATGACTAGAAGCTCTCTTCCTGAGTGGTTACTGTGTGCTGGGATGTGTGGAGCATAGGAGAGACTTTGTAGGTGAGAGCTGCAGTTAGGAGGAGGAGAAGGTGCTCCAGCGGAATGTTTTTGATAAGGAGATTGTATTTGTGATGAGACATCTGAGGAGCAAAGAAAGGAGAGGTTTTGAGGGATGGTCTTTTGTTCACAAAGGGGTGCTGAGGTTCTGTGTCTTTGGGATGTAGCCTCAGGATTATTTGTGAACTAACGTGGAACAAAAATACCGCTTGGCTCCACTGACAATTAAAATGTCCAGCTCATCTTGCTGATGTCTGTTGTCAATATTGCCCCCTCTTCCTGCTGCTGTCAGGCCTTATTCTGCTCAGAACAATTGGTGAAATAATGGCATCACTGAGAGTAAAGGCTGAGAAACCGAGTGTCTTAGATTGAAGATGTTGCCTCTAGCTTAGTTTATTCAGCTTTTTGAGGAGTAAAATACTCTACATATGTATAAAGAGTACTAAGCTGAGTTCTGCTCATCCTCATGTATTATAATAATTAGGCATCAGTAGCCGGATCTTGTACTTTTTGACAAGTTAGGCACACATGCATGTATGTGTAGGTACATGTATGAGAGTGTGTGCTTGTGTGTTTCGTCTTGTGTGTTTGTTTAGGTATTGTTTTGCTTAATAACATTGGTTATGAAAAATGGAAGTCTGTTGGCAGGAAGAAAAAAAAATACATTCCAGGAAGATGTTTTTTAAACTGAAGGCACAAAGCTAGGATAAGTAGACATCATGTGGCTTCTTTCTTGAGTGATCTAAAAAGCATCTTGCATTATTAAAGAGCCCTAAAATTCTGAAGATCCATCATCACTCCTTTCTTCTTTTTTTTTTTTTCATCCATGGGTTTTTGTTCTTCCAGAATGCGACTGTATCTCCATAGTAAATTTAAAATAACTCATAACTGTAAAGAGATTTCCTAGGTTTAGAGCTATACAACTATTCCTTGACCCTCATGCTACATTTACAAGTTCCTAGAAATCTTCAGTGTATTTACCTTTAGCCTGTGTTAGGTAATCAGAGGAGCTTGTAGGACATGAAGACTCACCCAGCATACATGATTCATACCTGAAAACCCAGATACCATTAGTCTCTTTTGCCAACATACCTGCCTTATCAGTTACACTGCTACCACTTAGTCCTGCTCCTCCCATTGGTGTATCCTTCCTCCTGTTTCCCCAAATACATAGTGAGTCCCCACTGGTTCTTCGGAGTCTCACTCTGTCTATTCTTTCAGTGAAAGTTTTTACAAAGACTGCTGCTCTACCTGGTAGAAAGATTTAGTGGGAATTACTGCAAGTTGTTGTTTCCCTGCTTCTACCCAGTGCCCAGGGAGCGGGATGATGTTAGAAGCTGTATGGGAAGTTTGAAGTTGTTTGTACTAAGCAAGCTCTGAAAACAAATGATGAATAGTATTGGGAGAAGTTGATCCCGTCCTTTTGATGCTGAAACAACAAAAATGAGAGGCACTATATTTGAAATGGCTTGTAAATACATTCACATGGAATTCACTTCTACATGGAATTCACTACTGCAAGATACTGAGTGCTTATACACGTTTCACTTTGCATGCAGTGAGAAAGGACAGATTTAACTCCATCAAACAAGGGGGAAAAATGAAGAGAGAGGAAAATAGGTGCAAGACTCTGTCCATATTTTGCCTTTGACCACTTTGCATGGTATGCTGCGCTATCCTGGCTAACACTAACAGAGAGTTGAAAGCCGCCTTTGCTTTTCCCCCCTGCCTCTGCTGAGAAGCACACCTTAACTCCCAGGCTTTGCTTCAGGTAGTTTCAGTTCTTGTTTAATGTGGTTCTGTACACTGTAGTGTGAGGTCTTAATGGTTTAAATACCTGCTAGTCTGTGAGGCTGGTGGTACGATGAGGAATGGCCCTTGCTTCCCCTGCAGCAAGGGGAAAGCTTTCACTGACTTCAGTGGGAGAATGACTGGGCATCAAAGACGAGCAATCCCATGAATGCTTTTACTTTCAGACCATAGTTCTGCAATTACTGAATACAAAGGACTATGTGTAAAGTCTGGGGCTGTAATTATTATTTTGACTTTTCTGATGATTTATCTTAGGCACCAGTGAACTGCTGTAGAACTTAATTACTGCAGCAGTGCAACAGTTACTTGAAGGTATTGTGCATAAACCAGATACTTACTGTGTTCAGGGAAGAACTTGCACAAATAAAAATCATACCATACTTGTGCAGGGAACTCCTGCCACTTATATGCCAGCAACATATGAAAAACTGAAATGAAGTCATGTTGTATCTGCCAGGTACTGAATGACAACGGGGGGCACAAAGCAGTAGCAGTGTTGTCTGCAGCCAGCTGAAGAATTCTCTGAAGTTTGCCAAAGCTTCTCTGATGATAGAGTAGCCTGAATAGAATCACAGAATAGTTGGGTTGGAAGGGACCTTCAAAGGTCATGTATTCCAACCGCCCTGCACTGAGCAGGGTCATCTTCAACTAGATCCAGCCTGGCCTTGAGTGTCTCCAGGGATGGTGCATCCACCACCTCTTTGGGCAACCACCTTCAGTATTTTACCACCCTCACTTAGGAATTTCTTCCTCATGTCTAGCCTGAATCTCCCTTCTTTTAGTTTAAAACCATCACCACTTGTCCTATTGCAGCTGGCCCTGCTATAAAGTCTCTCCTCGTCTTTCTTATAGTTCCCTTTTAAGAACTGAAAGGCTGCAATAAGGTTTCTCCGGAGTTGTCTCTTCTCCAGGCTGAACAACCTGGGAGGGAAGAAGGGGAATATTGGCATAATAATTCAGACCAGTATTTAAATAGCTTGCAAATTTGATGGTACAATACAGTAAATTCTGCGTTTATCAGTCTTGTCTGGTGCACTTTGGCCTCCTATGCAAACCAGCAAGTGAGTGATCTTAAAACATGCTGTGTCGTTGTTTGGCAGAAGCTGCAGGTGCCCAGGACCTTTTGTAGTCAAGCCTGTTGTTCGGTTTCACACATCTCAAACAGATTGTTTGCATGCTACAAAGGTCATGAATTATTGCTTGCTTAACGCAGCCACCTAGCAGGCTTCAGCAACAAACCAACAGCTGCCTTTTGGCTCGGTATGAAAAGTGGGATTTGAGTGTTTTGAAATGTGTATCGGAGGAAGTGGTCTGTGTTTGAAGAGCCTCTTCTGTTCCAGTCTACAGAGCAGGCTGAAGTCTTGCATCATGTGCAATGTGCAACTCTGCTCTCACTATGGTACCATAACAAACACATCCACAGTAAACAAGTAGCTACTGAACATTTTGAAGGACATACTGCTGGAATACAGGATGAATATCATTGTATGGAAATTTTTGGGATTAAATTGCTGGAAAACTACTATACAGATAAAGCAATACTTTATTCGTATTTTTGTCCTGTGTTGCAAGATACTTTGAGGTGTCAGAAGCTAACGCATGGAGCAGGTCTCAGGAGATGATGTATCTGGTCTGTCTTACCTCTGTCCTGCCGCATATCAATTAATCTTTCTGTGCTGTCATTTTTGTGCTGTCACATCTGTAGGATGGGAGTAGCAGCAGTTCCTTTCTCCTTTGTCTTATCTGATGTCTTTAGTTCCTAATAAGTGCAGAACTCAAGGTCTTTATCCTTGTGCCTTTAGAGAATGCTTAAATGAAAGTGATGGATATTAATTGTTCAATATCTGTTTTCTGAGCCTTAGAAGTTTAACATGTTTGGACATTGTAGCTAACGGGCTCAGTGTGCAAGTTCTTGTTTGCTTTTCTCAGCACCAACACTTTGTTTTCTACATGGCTTTTGTTATGGTGATGTGGTGCCATCATGAAAGTTTTGCATTTCATCCACAGTTCTAGTTGTCACTAGAGTGCACAAGTTGTCACCAAGGAACACAAGATGTTCTTTGTGAATTGCATTCAGCTTCCAATATACTGTCCTCCATCTTAAATGCTTAAAGGTCAAACCTTATGGGTTTATTCAGAAAGCGTTTTAGGGATTTTGTTGAGGGGGGAGTACTTCTTGACATTAAAATCCTTTGGCAAAGCTTCTGTTTAAGGTAGTCTTTTCCAGCCCTGTTTCTTCTATGACTCCAGGTTTTAGGTGCTGTTTATAAGAATCTTTAGCCTGTTAGATCATAGGCAGATCTTGCAGCACTGACTCTTCCCAAGTCCTGCTTTCCAAACCTCACTTGGCTCTTGTTAAGCCTGGCCAAACCTAGACTGTGAAAAACACAACTCCATAAGGCAATGGCAGATCCCCTGCCTGCTCCTGGAACTGTTACTTCAATTCTCCCTTCTCATTGACACCTCACATTTGCATCCAAATATGAGATCTGAGCTGCTGACTTATAAAATTCTATCATTTTCACTTCTGTTTCTGGGAGCTGCAGCCACAGTGGGCAGCTTGTCTGCAGTCAGCTTGCTAGAGGTAGAAAATTCATGGGCATGCTGGGGTCTTGCTGCACTCATGGCTGTATGCAAAGCTCTTACCAGCTTGTGTGAAAACTGAATGCATCCATTGTGTAATGTGGCTGAACCCAAATTGTGCTTTTCCTGGCAATTTCCCACAGAAAATGCTGCTAAGACTGTTGTGAAGTGGCAGGGCAGTAGTGTGTCCTTAAACATGATTTTCCTGAATAATTGTTTGATTCAGGCAGATTATTTACAGGATGCTTTCCTGAAAGGAAGCTGAATTTATGTTTAGGAAGCTCTGTGAGAAGATTAACAATTTATATTCTTGAATTTTATTGTTTATTTAACTTCTAAAATATTGTGAGAAATATATTTGATTTGTTACTTAGATTTTGTGATATGGATTAAATAAATTATTATTCATTTTAGCAAAAGAAAATGTAGCCCTGTGGGTTTGGATCAGAGCTGAAACTTAATTCCACATACCTCCTCAAAGGAAAAAGATTTGAAATGGTGAAGAAAAACAGAATGTTTAAAGACTAAATCCCAAAGTGCTTTATTGGATTCTAGATTCGAATTATAGAAATAATAGTGTTATGAAATAACAGGTCACTGGAGAAACACCCCCTGCATGTCAAGACTGTGTAAGCAGGTCCACATATACTCTTGTACTCACATGAAGTCTGCTTACTGTGCATCCCCTTAAAAGCCCTCAGTGGGGATACAGGAATCTGCGAGCACAGGATAGCTTGCAAGGGTAGTGCCAAGCTAACCCACAGTGCTTTAAATGTCCTCTCTGGTACCAGATACAAGTGTGCTTTCCCAACATTTTTCTTTGAGGTCTTTCTCCAGGGCTCGTTTAAGAGGCTCAGAGCCTTCTGTGGATTTTGGATTGTGCCCTAGGGTAACAGCTGTGAAAATCTGACGGCTGCAGAAAACCAAACTGTTTCTAATGAAAGAAAACAAGAATTTTACATGAAATGTTAATGTATGTGGTCTAGCAAAAGGAACTTTAAATCTTTAACTGGATTTAAATGGAAACATAGGCCACAATTTAGTTCAATAGAGGAAATCCTCTTTCTTGAAGGAAAACGTAGTTTTCTTTTCTTGGTTATGCTTAGTAACTGAATCATAGTTTCTGAGTATTTTTTTAATTAAGTTGGAGAAATGTGTAAGCTTTTATATCTGTGCTGTGACAGGTATGTCTCTGCATATATATATATGTATACATACACACTGATGTCAAATGCATGTTTTAGTAAGTGTAACAACTTTTGTTTTTCTAGGTTAGTGGATGACCGGTGTGTGGTCCAGCCAGAGGCAGGTGACCTTGCTAATCCTCCAAAGAAATTCAGAGGTCAGTACCTAGGGATAATACTTTTTTTGATGACTGATTCATGTTGTGACTCCTTCGGCACTTTGCCTTACCAAACACGTAACTTCACAGATGCCTTCATGGTTTGCCAACACATTGCTGAACTTTCAGGCTGGAATGTGAATGACAGATTTTGAGAACTAAATACCAAACCAGCAAAGGCACGAGGGGTAGGTGGAAAACGGACTAATTTTCTTGCAGTCCAAGAGTTGATTGCTCTGTTCTGTACATCAAATGCTGACCCCCTGCTGTGTGACCAACTCCTTGCTCCAGCCCTGCTCTTACTGTAAATGGGAAACAAGCCTGTGAGGCTCAAAAGTACTTGAGCTTCTGGTTTGTTTATTTTTTAAAAGATAAGACATTTTAAGACTATCCTGAAATATTTTTACAGCTTTTTGTTTTACTTTTGCTTAAAACCCTGTCTGTTTTTAGTTCACTTTCTTAGACATGACCTTGTAGATTTTGATAATTCTGCTGTTTTGCATATTGGAAAAAATAACAAAGCACTTACAACATGCAGTTTCTACTTCTTGAATGCTAAAAAATACTCATGTTCTATCGGAAGTTCAGTGTGTTTATATGTAAGGGAGGAAGACTCTCAGTCTTGTCTGTACTTGATTTAAACCGTTGGCTCTAGCTGTGCCAAAGTAGAGCCTTACTAGCCTAATCCAGACCTCTTTTGGCTTAAATGGGCTTGGATTCACACATGTTATAAGATAAAGACAGTTATGGTTTGCTTGGTTTAGAAAAAGGAGATGAGTTTCATGGCTGCTTTTATCTGTCTCAAGGGCTTGCACTTTTTATTTTAACCTTGTTGTTTTATTTCCAGTGTTTATTATGCTATAGTGTGTATATGTTACTATTGCAAAAAAGTTGTGTTTTAAGTCTTAGAGTCTTAAGTTCTGCTTTCTCAGAGTAGTCAAGATTTTTTTTTCCCCATTATAAATCCAGGAAACATCAGCAGTTGGTTCCAGTTCCAGCTGTGAGTATTCAGCACATCAGCAGATCTTGGAAATTGAGAAAGTGAGGATGTGTACTTAGAAACTAATAGTAATAAATTTCAGTCACTTTGCATGATGAAATAACTTTATAGTAGGGATGAGAATAGGATATAGTTCTCCAGTGTGGCTTCCAGCCTTCCTTCATCCTCTCACTGCCTGCAAATGCATGTTTAATTCACAGCTTCCAGGTTGCACAAACGAGAAGATATCCAGGTTTCTATATGAGACAGGGATCACTGGTAAAGGTTTGCATGTGATGGTACAATTGCAGAGTGCAACCAATGCCTACGATCAAAGAGCTAAACAGAGGTGAAAAAGACAACCTTAATTTTTAAATTGTCTAACACTTGAGGCCTTGATTTTATAACTTCAGTACAGTTATACTGAACTGTACATGATGTTTTCCTAACTTGAAAAGGCAAAGAATGAAAAAGTTGGTAGTTTTCTGTGTTGATTTTTTTTTAAAAAGTGATTTCAAAGCATCAAGAAGGTCTGGGCATGATGATTCAGGGTGCAAGGTTATTGAACTCTCAGCTCTAATGGCATGCCATCAGTGGTGGTAGTAGTACATGTGTTACGTAGATCAGATGTCAGAAAGGAATGAGACACTGACAAAATGTGCAGCTGTTTGCTGCTGCTGCTGGGGGAATGCAAGGACTGTACTCCTGAGTTACACCCCAGCTTCTGCAGGGGAATGTTTTCTATTAGTTGTAGACAGTTTTGGCTCTATTCCCTATTGCAACCTCTCTCTGTTGCTTGCATAACACATCCCTTTATCTCCAGTTGCCACTGCTCCCTCTTCTCCACAGGATCTAACTTGTCCTTTCATCTAGCTCATATCCTCCACTTTCCAGGGATCCCCTCTTATCCCTTTCGCCCGCTGCCCCAAAACTTGTTATTAACTACTTTCCTCCTCCTCCTCCTCACTGCTGCCTCCTAGCTCTCTTTGGGTCCAGCGGCCTCTCTTCTTGTCCCTCTTTTCTTCTTTCCATTTTAGGGTGCCCCCATATCTGACTTAATTTTGAAGTGCTCAGCTATTGCTAGAATTGTGGTAGCATGCAAATTTGGATGAACTGCAACATCTGTAGGAGAAGCTAAATTAGTGGGTTTTGTCCCCTCAGTTGAGGCAACCTGCCATGCTACAACATCATGGCTATAATGTTAGGGGCCACATCTATTAGCATTTTCATGCTGCTTCAGGTATGTGCAAGCAAGTGGCATTCAGGAGGATGGCTGCAGCAAAGACAAAACCATTGTTTATTTTCTCTATCATCTTACAAGTCAAATTCTAAGTGTGGGAATAGTAGGGGTTTTGTTGGGAGCACAGCAGAAACTTGCTGTTCTAATACTGAATCTAATCAGGATTTAGTGCCTTGTACCATGGAGGTGTCTGAATTATGAGAATAGCCAGAAGCACATCTCTGACGTGTTTCATTGAATTTCTTAGCGCTGCTCAAAAGCAGTGAGCCAAAAGAGTTGCTAAATGTTGTTGTTATAACTCAGAAATGAAAACAAACCCCATATTCTCTCGCCCCCTTCCCTCCCCCCGAATCTTCTGGGAAATAGCATTCAATTAAAATGGCAAAGTTAACAAACCAAGCAAAAACTGCTTTAAGTAGGTTCTTGACATAAAAAGAAGGCTTAGGAATGAATGATTAATTGAATGATTAGACATAAGCAACTAAAAATAACATGTAGCAGCAGGAAGAGTAGGGCCTCTTTAGTAGTAGAAACTGCTGTCTGTATGGTTTATAATGTTTTTATCACTGATAGCTGAACTGGCATTGGTTTGAGGTTAGAGCATGACCTAAGAGTCAAAGAAGTATGAGAAAGGCATGTTTCTAACAAGATGTTTAGATTCCAAGGACTGACACTGAAAATTAACATCAGAGGACTATATTTGCTCTTTTTTGGTAATATCTTATCAGTCCTTTCCCCAACAGGGAAAAAAAAATTAAAAAAGATTGTGTTTTATAGAATAGTAGAGTCGCTTGGGTTGGAAAGGACCTTAAAGCTCATCTAGTTCCAACCCCCTGCTATGGGCAGGGACACCTTCCACTAGACCAGGTTGCTCCAGGCCCCATCCAACCTGGCCTTGAACACTGCCAGGGATGGGGCAGCCACAGCTTCTCTGGGCAACCTGTGCCAGTGTCTCACCACCCTCACAGGGAAGAATTTCTTCCTAATGCCTAATCTAAATCTCCCCTCTGTCAGTTTAAAGCCATTCCTCCTTGTCCTGTTACTACATGCCCTTGTAACAAGTCCCTCTCCAGGTTTCTGTAGGCCCTTCACATACTGGAAGGCTGCTGTAAAGTCTCCCCAGAGCCTTCTCTTCTCCAGGCTGAACAAGCCCAACTCTTTCAGCCTGTCTTCAGGCCTTTACAGAGTTCACTCAGAGATCAAATTTAGGTACTGAGCTTTTGGCCTGATCCGAAAGCCTGACTAAAGAGGTGTCTCAAAATAGCAGTTTCATTTTTGTTATGTGTTTGTGTTGTATGAGTAGGTGGTAGCTATTCTAGTTCTTTCAGAACTTCCTCCAAAACAGAGTATTGTAAAGTAAGGAGAGCTGTGGTCGCGTTTCGTTTTGTGTCTGTACAAAGAAGCTGTGGCCCAGATTTCCCCTTCAGTCAAACCGGAAAGAACCTGGGGTGGCTCTGTGTTCATCAGTGTGCATATCCAGATTTGCGTCAGCGCAAAGGAGGGCAGGATTTGGTTCCACATGTGTTTCCTGAAGTCTGTTAAGAGGAAAAAAATAGCAAAGCACGTACTTCAACTTTTCAGTTGAATTTAAGGGACTGATCAAGCCAGGTGCTTCTTGTCCTAATTCCGTCTGAAGCTAGTGAGAGCTGAAGCACTTGGCATCAAGATGGACATGCTTACCCTGCTGGAGGGCCAGGTTCACAGAGATTAGGAAGAACAGTGTGTGCCTTGCACGTTTGTAGAAAAGTCACTTCGTGAGCAACAGAACTGCAAGTTCCCTTGGACTCTGACCTTAAACACACTTCAGCTTGATGATGTTATCTCCAGTGGGAAACACTTTCAGCTTCCAAGGTGTAAAATAGCGCAGATAAGACCTGCTTGTTAGTCAAATTTAGCAATTCTGAAAAAGAAGTGTAAGTCTCTCTTCTACTTTAAGTGTAAAATGACCTAAGTTCTTAAACTTCCCTACGTTATATACCACTTTTTCTTGAGGCATTTGCAATGAAAGTGATGTTTGAGTTCTTGGCTATCCTTCTCTTGCTTTTCTCTCAATTTTTAGTCTGTTCTGAGCTTTTTTTGACATTGTTCTTTCCTCTTCTCTCCCTTCCATTACGTTCCTCTGCACACCTTTCTTCCTCCTCCTTTATCTGCCATCTACCAATTTTCTTGCCTTCTCCTACATTGTTTTGGTTTGTCCTTGTGTTTTCTTCTTGTTTCTCTCAGTTCCATAATTGCTTTAATTTTCTTCTAAGACTCCTGATCACGTTTTCTGTTGCCCTCCTCAAGATTCTTCATTGCCCCATTGCTTGCTCTCTTAAATTCCTTCCTTTTCATTCTCACTTCACCTCTTTTTTACCTTTCTGATTTCTTTTCAAAACACCTAGATTTTGTACACACTGATTTAATAGTGGCCACTATTTACACTTGCACTTACACATTTGTCAGGCTACTGGTTTAAATAAAGCCATGTGATAATTTCTCTAGTTCTGCAAATCACAGAAATCATCTATGATGAGCAAGAGCTGGATTTCAAACATTTGGGGGTGGGGTAGGGTGTCAGGTAGTGGGAGAAAACATCTGACAAATATTGTTCTAAGCCATCTTTATCCAATGTCAGAAAAGATTAAAAGGCATAATACAAGTTATTTTCCTGTTCAGACTTCCTGAGTGCAGTTGCTTTTTGCTCAGAGGATGTGCTGTGTGTGGTTGTTCCACCCACTATTGCCTTTTGAAGAGTGGCATTTTATGCATGTTGTCAGGCTCAGGCAGATGGTCAGTTCAGTGCTGAGTGCATTCTCTCTGGATCTTCTCCCGCATTCCCAGAGTTGCTGCTTTCCATCTTTTGGTTGTTCTGGTAATAAATGTCTCCCCAGCCCCCCTAAAATGAGTAATTTATACATGTCTCAACACTGATAATCTGGTATATTTTCTTGCTTTCTAACAAGCCAAGGTGTATAGTGTAGGAGGTTAAGCGTGGAGTGTGACCAGGGAGAGCTTCCACTTCTTTTTTCCGTTTTGTAAAGAAATTGGAAGTGGTTTTATTGTGTTTAAAGCTGTGTGTGTGGGCTGGGGTGGGCAATGTTTCTCATTTTCTTCATCTTCACTTTGTACACAAGTAATTGAAATTTTGCCTGGAAGATTTTGTGGGTATAAGAAAACTGCTGAAACTGCAGAAGTTGAACGCATGAAAGTTCAGGAAGTGAAACTGGCTGTTACTTTTAAGCCATTTGTTTTAAAGCTGTTTGTTTATCTTTGATAGTGCCTACTTAATTAGTGTCCTCAAGAAGAGAAGCATTTATGTAAAACTCTGTAAAGTATTGAGTTAGGAACTAGGACTATCTGAGAATGTCTGGAGAAGGTAGAAGAGATGGTCTGTCTCATGAGTGGGTTCCTAGACAGACCTTCAGGAGGGCTGGGCTTTTGGTCCGTGTGCTGGAAAGTGGCTTTGTAATCTTATACTTAATTTTCTATTTTTTTCTTGTTTATTTAAACTATAGCTTCTCTAGGGCAAGCACTGCTTTTTATCCCCCTCCTGATGTTCAGGACCACAAAGTTTGAATTTATATAGAATCCTATTGTTACTCCAATAAGAGTAAATGAACAATATGATTTTTTTTTTTAAAGATAAATTGAGGAAAATACAATTGAAATAATACTGAGTTAAAAAAATGTTCTCGGTAGTTCAACTTCCAAAACACTAGACTGGAAGACAGGAGAGGTGTGTTGTGCAGCACGGCTACAGATGGAACTGTGTGGTGGCTGGGGTTATCTACAACCTGCTCTGCATTTCTTTTGATTTGAGAACTACCATTAGGAAAAATTCATCCACCTTTGGGAAGCAGACCTGCTAATGACTGCACATCCACCATGCACAGCTGGCATTTCTCTGCAGTTTGGTAGCACTGTGCTTCAAGACTCTGTCAGGAGGATGGGAAACAGTGTGTTTACTCAAGTAGCAGGATGTGTGGGGAGTAACTGAGAAATAAAAGACTGGTCCTATAAAAAGAAAGTATTAAATAATAGTGGACTTCTTGTCTTATGAGCTGAAATCCCAATACTGAAAATCTCCTGCAATGTACAGGATGATTTAACAGTCCAGAGTTTTGTAGTTGTGTTTTCTTTCTCTTTTTACCCCCTTCTCAGTGCCCAGGATATTGTGAAAGTTACCTGGGAGTTACGTACTCTAGGTCCTATGATACAGTTCTCATTGTAATTGTTCCCCTTTGAAATGAAAGTAAACACCTTTGCAAGGTGGCTGGGTTTGCTTTGATAAAGATTTGTAACACTTTCTCCTAGGAACAGCAACCGAGGGCTTTGGTTAGGGAGCAAATCAGTGAGGACTTTGGGTCAGTGCCAAGGAAAGTTCTGCCACTGGCAGTGGTTTTGTATGAACAAACTTTGCTGCTACGAATAGTAGAAGATCAATTGCTATTAAGAGAAGAGGCAGTATAATGAGAAGCTTGGTGTAATAACAGCCAACGCAGGCCAAATGGCACATCTGCAGAACTAAAAGCATTGCATCTTAGTTTGTAGACTGAGAGCCAGTACTGCTGCAAACTGCTAGCTCTGTGGGCCCAGGTGGTGGGAGGAACGTGTGGCATGGTCTTAGTCTAGTGGTTTGGCAGCACTAACATCAGATAGCTGTGCTTAGGTGGGCCTGATTGTAATTGAGAGTGAGGCCTGTTTTATTTTAAGTAATGAGAGTTCACTTCTACTTTGGAAAGGCAAGGCCAGTCTTCACACTAGATTTTCCTTCCCTCTCCTGTTGTTTTATAAGAGGTATTCCTAGTGTAACATGGTTTCAATAACTCCTTGCAGACTGTGAAGAGAGGATTATGTTGGAGGATATATGAAGAATGTACCTCAGAGGAGCTAAATCTCCACCTCTTCATCCCTGTGTGAAAGAGTAATCCCATTAGATCGTTAGTGTTGAAAATGAGAATAGGATGTGCCTTGGTATCAGCATCTTCTACAGAAAGATTGTGAATCTGACACTTGAATTTTCACTTGTAAGGTTGGAGTAGTTAGGTGCGTGATAGAAGGGACTTCTCACGTGCTATTGTGGATTAGAGAAATAGAGCAAGTCCTAGGTAGTTAGCAACAGCAGATGTTAAACTTGCTCTGGGAATTAGGGTGTGAGTGGGACAGCACTGTAAAATAGAAACTGTCTGCTGCTGACCTGACTCAATGGTTAAAAACACAGACCATGACAGTTCCAAATAGCTTCCCCTGCTGACGTTTTTGTAACAGTAATGGGCAACTGATGAGATTACACAGTATTTAAAAATGACATGCAAGGTTGCTAGATTCAACAAGGTCACCTACACACTGATCCAGTACGTTAACTGGAATGTGTACTTAGTGTTGATTTTGCTATTTCATATTGCAGCATGGTTGATAACAGAGATAAGGCTGACTATACAGTGCTGTTGGAAAGTGACTCTTTTGAAAGAAGGCAGCAGGGAGTAGAGAGGGCTGTTTTCAAATTATTCTGTGCTATGTGCTGTGTATGCCATTAACGGTTGAGTGCAGTGGTAAAAAGCACTTCATGTTGCTCACATAGAGCTGGCATGTTTGTTCACTTCATTTTCTGTATTTTTGTGAGGAGCAGTGTCTGTGCCATGCTCTGTGCAATGTGGCTTTCCAGTGGTGTTGCAGTCTTTTATATTTTTTCATGGGAAAATTGCCTAATGACCATCAGAGAAGTGACACTGCTAATTCTGGCCAGGCTAGGGTGTCAGTGCCTGCAAGATGTGCTTGTGGGATCAGAAAAGGGACTTTTTTTATTCTCACTCCAGCTCTGGGGCAAAACCTCTCTGTAGGATACACTGCCTCTGCAACCTGGCTCTAGCTTGTGCTGCATTTGGGTGGCTGGGAGGGAATGTTTTCTTCCCTCCCATCTCTACCTTCCTGAGACTCTGATGTGGAGCAGGGAGGAAATTCTTCAAGGTCATCCCCTCTGGGGGTGGATTAGTCCTCAGAGAGTGCTTGGCCATCTGTGTCAGATAATAGAGAGGGCTAATAGTTTGGGACAAACCTTCCTTTGACATTTATAATGGTAACCCATGTTGGGGAAGAGTTTCACACTATAGTACGCATGCAGCCCTTTTGCTAGTCTCAAAGGAAAACTCTGATTGCTAATTAATAGTTTCCCGTCCCTTCCTCTTGCCAGTTGATACATGCAGAGTGTGAAGGGACAATTACCAACATTTGCTAAGTAAAATGTCTTTCAAAACTAACTTTTAGAGCAGTTGGTGATTGGGACCATGTGAGACTAGGTATCATTTATTGCTCTAAAAGTAGCTGGATTTGGGTGAATCATAAGCCTCTATTTCCAGTCTATAGGACTGTCACTGGCCTGAAACCCCCCAGAAAGTCTTGAGTCAGGGAATTTCACGGTATCTAGCCAATTAACATTAACTTTCAATTATTGTTTCTGGTATTGGGAAATAAAAATGAACAATTGAACAAGGACTTGGGAAAGCACCCCTTGGCTTCCCTCCAGACGCATCTCTCCCCCGTCCCAGTCCCCAGCCCTCTTGCTGCAGATGATCACTGTGGGGATGTGATGGTGAGGGGATGAGGGTCACTGCATTGCAGCTTGGTTTGTTTTGCTGTTCCTTGTTTCTTTCTCTGCGCCTACCCCATTGGCTGCAGTCTCCTCATGGTGTACCTTCTCTGTGATCATTTATGTAGCCACCCTGCTCGGGCAATTCCTCTTGGGTGGCTTCTCCTCCCTCCCTCCTTACCCATTGTTGGTCAACAGTGGTGTTCAGTTCATGTCATTTGTTGCTTTCAGTCAGTCTTGGTGGAGGTGTGTGTAGACCTGAGCGCTGCATTGACTTCCTTGGTGGCTTGCAACTGAGTGCCTGTGCAAGCCTTTGCTTCAGCAGTGCCAGAAGGAGCAAGGAAGCCAGATGTATGGCATACAGAAAGCAGGACTGTTTTTAAAAGGTTCCACATGTCTTCAAATAGTGTGTCTGTAATGTTGTGCTGCAGGAAAGAGAATTAAAAAGCACCAGGCAGTTTTGCATATGGTAGGTTCACAGCCTGGGACTCTTCCATTGGTTGTGTGGAGTGAGCATGAAGGCTTTAGATTCAACCCTGATGTTCCGGCACCCTGTTTATGATTTCATTGCCATCAAGCTGTTTTCTGACTATGTTTAAACACTGGTATCTGGCATTTCTGGGAAAAGAAAACCAACCAAAGCATACTTACAAATGAAGGAAGTGTCTTTCAACATTACTTACGAATATTTCTTTCAATCTCTCACAGATTGCCTTTTCAAGGTGTGTCCTATGAACCGATATTCAGCTCAGAAGCAGTACTGGAAAGCCAAGCAAGCCAAACAAGGAAACCACACAGAAGCAGCACTGCTGAAGAAACTTCAAGTAAGAGGCGTCTGTATTTATAACCTTATCTCAATCTGCAGGCTGTAGAATTGCAATAGAATTAGAAAGAACAGTAACAAGTGCCTTGGGAACCACTGTGATGGGTATTATTATGCCACCATAGCAACTTCATATTCTCATTAGCTCTCCCACCTCCTGACTGGCATTTATTGCCCCTGCCCTGTTTTTTATCTAACTCTGGGCTGGGGGCTGTGCCCATAGATTGTACGAATCTTTGCTGTAAGCAAAACACTTCTTTCAGAAGTTTCAGAAAGTAAAAATGGAGTTGTTAAAATCAGGAGTGGGCCCTAGTTTAAATCATGCTTTTGTTTTAGAAGTGCTTTCCAGGAGTGAGACAGAGGAGCAGAAAGAGAGATTTCAACACTTTAGTCTTGAAATTCCTTAGAATAGCAGTTGTCTTTGATTTCAGTCTAGGTGATTCTTGTCTGAACCATTGGGCAGATTCTATTTTGCATCAAGTACAGCATGGATGGAGAAATTCCTCTGTATCTGAAAAAGAGCTGGCCTGATGTTATAATTGAATGCATAAGACTAAGTGAACACAGGTCATCAGAAACCTGGTAGATAGCTTCATGTGCACTTGAGAGGCTGCCAGTCCTCCCAGTTAAAAACAGCAAGGAAGACACATGGTGTGTGGCTAGAGCTAGGAGCCAGAGTGTGTTCTGTGGCTGTGTTTAACCCAGACTATTGTGCTTAGCCTTGATTATGCAATGTCTGAACTGCTAGTTTTGCTATATACGAAGTCAACGTATTCATATGCAGTTAAAAAATCGAGTAAAAGAAATGGTGACAAGGAGAAGCTGATCATAGTCCCTTCTTTTTCTTCCTTCAGGTTGCAATAAAGCACCTGGAATTACTTTTCCTGCTTGAAAATTTGTTAAATAGCATGCATCTCAGGTGTGATCCATAAATTGTGTCTGAGTTTTCACTCTGGGTAATAAAACCCCAGAATCATTACACAGGGTCTGAGTGATTATAGTTCAGAAAATTATGCTGCAGCAGGATTCAGGTGCTAATATTTTCAGTGCAGTAATGCTTACAGGTTGGAGGAAGTGTTTTAAATGCGATGCCATTTCCTTTTTCCACTATCTGTTCCAGTAGCTGAATACAGGTCCTGATTTTGTAAGAGTTTAAAGAAATAATTGTTATCTTGCAGCATGCGGCAGAACTGGAACAAAAGCAGAACGAAAGCGAGAACAGAAAGCTCTTGGGTGAAATTGTAAAATACAGCAATGTCATACAGGTAAACCCATAGAAATCCATCTGCCTTCTCTCAGAGCTCGAAAGGAAACAGTTGTTTCATTTCAAGGTTCCAGTGGAAATGAATCTAACCACTGTAATCTGGATTGTCAAGGGTCAGGTAAACGTAAGCTGGTGAAGTTTACACTATTGTGTTTTTCTGCCTGTTTTAAAGCCTACCAGAAGTGCTGCATATTCATGTTTAAATAATATGTCATAATATAAATTTTATGTGTGATTTTTGCTGCTGCAGTTTAGAATCTGAATGTAAATATGTATCTTCAAGATTTATTTCAAAATCATGTTATAAAGGTGCTGTGCAGCTGCTTTTAAATCACTGAAGTCATTTGTACTTCATGACATATAAATGAGACAGAAGTTATGCTCGTAAGTATAGTATAACTTTCCTGTAATAGATGAAATACCTGAAGGTAACACTGTTTATGGACCCTTGCCCTACCTGCGTACTATATGCTGTAAAATTGATCGCTGACACATTTCTCTCAATCTGAGATACAGCATCTGTTTTTCTAAACCACAGTGTACTTTGATAATTCTCTTCAAGTTTCATTTTGCCTTCATGTATGTTATGAAAAATCATTACAGTGTGAAAACCTGTGCCTCCTCTTTTGGCTAGAGGAAGAATAAGCAACAGTGAGCAAAGCTCTCCCTTTGAAGAGAGAATAAGCAACACTTGTACTGATTTTTTAATTATCATTTGTTCACAGCTACTGCACATAAAAAGTAACAAGTACCTCACAGTCAATAAGAGATTGCCGGCTCTGCTAGAGAAGAATGCTATGCGGGTGTCTCTGGATACTGCAGGGAATGAGGGATCCTGGTTTTACATCCAGCCCTTCTGGAAACTGAGGAGTGAAGGTGACAATGTGAGTGGAAATACTAAATGTATAAGAGGGAGAAGGCAGAAAGTTTCCAGAAGACATATGATTTCTTTGCTATTGGCAAAAATCATAATGGATTAAGTTCAGAAAAGAAATACTTTAAACAGTGCTTGGGACAATTAGCCTTTAAGTATAACTAGAACTTGTTACTGAATTACATGGTCTGAAGCCTGAAATGTTGCCACGCACATCTGAGCTTCTGCTGACCTGTGTTGGGGCACAGTCCGCCTACTGAGTGTAGATTTACAAAGCTGATAGTAAGTCATAGTTTACACTAGAGTAAATTATTTTAAAAAATATATATATTCTTTTAATGTTCTGGGCAACATGTTTTTAAGAGGTCAGCAGAGAATGCTTCCAGGAAATACACCAGGTTTCTTTAAATCTCTCCCCCCTCAACATGAGAGTGGCATCTATGACTGGAATTAGGTTGGATCGTCTGGTGGGTCTTTTCTGGGTGGGCTTCAGTAGGAGACTTCTGTATTGGTAAGAGGAAGACTATATAGAAGAGCTCTTTGCAGATCTGTGAGTTGCACCACGAGATCAAAACTTGGTTCTTCATTCAGTTGACTGTAGCTTGGTTAAACGCCTGCTGTAGAAAATTTGGATTTGCCACTGGGAAGGCCACATGATGAACTTGTGTGATTTTATATTGTAGACCTGGCTGGGAATGTTAGGCGACTCTCTCCTCTGAAGTAATTGGTGAAGTAGCCCTCTCAGGATTGCAGAGAGGAAGGCCTGTTTTCTTCTGTTTTTTTCTCCATTAACTTTGTGGCTATCCAGGTCTTGGGATACTGTCCAGGAAGAGTGTGGTTGCTTGCAGCTCCTTTTGGCAATCTGTTGTAGGGAGGGGAAGAACTGCACTTCCAGCTCCTGGTCAGAAGTCCCTAAAGTCATAGTCTTTCCCTGCTCTACTCAGTGGTCAGAAGGGTATGTGAAAAGTTCTACTTTCCCCTAAGCCTGTTGCAAAGAAAAGCAGCAAACATGAGTAGCTCTCTGGGGCACCTCTGCATGGCTTTTCAGCTGGTGGAAGTAAGTGTCGTGGATCAAACATTAATCTGGTACTCCTTTCCCTCTTTGGACAGAAAAGAAAGGTGGCTTACTGCTTTAAGGTTTTGGCTTAATTTCTTAGAATAACATCAGTTCATAATCTACTTAGTTTCTCATGCCTGGGAAATAAGTGCATGTCATGCTCTCCAGAATGAGGACCTGGCTTCCCAGACTATGATCTTCAAAGCCATCATGAGCCCTTACAGCTGAGAGCAGTGGAATGACCTTAAACCTTATAAGGCATCCTCAAATGCCAAAAACGATAGAGTTTTTGGTTCAGTTTTTCACCGTTGTGGGCACATAAGAATTTGGAAGCGGTTTGGCTAGTCTGAAAAGCTTGCAGATCATTGCAGTGATTGCTGAAACATCCCACTCTGCAGACCTCCCTTCTGGTTTGTTCCCTGTGGGGCTGTATTTGACAGGCTCTGAGCTACAAGGGCTATGTAGGAAACTTAGATTTACTCCTAACTTAATAGCCTTCTTTGGAACCTGCCTGCTGCTTGTTTTCTGTCACCAGGTGTTGCCTTTCAGGGCTGGAAGCTTACCATTGTATTTTATAGAGGGAAGTCTTGGGACCCCCAATTTTCCTCTTTACTACTAGGCCTAAGCAGATGTGATAATTTTCTTTGCAAACCTTCAGTGCTAAACATCAGGCCTCTGGTAGCTTGCTCATAACATTCACAGAAACTGAGCAGCTGTTGTAAGGAAGACAGGGATAGCAAATGATGGGGAAATCCTTCATTTGCCCCTCAGACAGAGAGAGGCTCCAGCCTTGTACCCACTCCTTCTCTCTCAGTTACTGCCAGATGTGTGCCCCTTAAAAGACTACCTTTGGGGGACTCATCTACAAAATACCTAAAACTGCATAAGCTGAGGCTACTTTACCCACTCACTAAGTTAGCTTTTGAAGGACTTACATTTTTTGGTACATTTTTCTTCTGACCTCTCAGTGTGTGGAGTTAGCTTGGTGTATCAGGCCTTTATTCTGTTTGGAAATTTTGAGGTTGTTTTTATTTTGGTGGTGTGTTTTTCATTTTCTATGCTATTACGAGGAAATTCCCTAAGAAAATACGTTTTAGAAAGTCTTTAGAACAGTAGAAGTGAGCATCGCATTAATGCTTGGGTGGCTGCTACTGTGTCAGATGACCCAGGCAAAGTAGACCCAAATATGGCATATATCCTTAAAGAAAAGAAGGTGGTTTGGTCTGGGAGAAGCTGTGATGTAGGAAGTCATGTGTATGAGTTTTCTGGTATGTCATCATGGTTGTTTAGACTTGTGAACTATTTTAGAAGTTATTTCTCTGAAGGAGGGTTACCTTAGCTTGGTTAGCAACTGGTAAGTTAAGCAAGTCAACGAAAGTAATGAAAAAATACAGCTGAAAATTTGCAGCACTTGGCATAACTGCAATATTTTATGCAGACTTTCTTTAATCATATAAGAGCTCTCCCTCGATGGAAGATGTCACAGACAAAGGCTAGAGTTGATTCCAGTTTGAGTGAATAGAAAAATGGGCACTGATAGCAGGATTAGCTCTGTGTGGATTGCATTTTCAGTTGTCTGCCATTTTAAGGGTTTGAAAGTGTGATCTTGAAGAATACTGGGGGAGGTGGTCTTGATTGGAGAATGCTCAGCCACCTGTGGGAAAGTTCTGTTAATCCTTCTGGTCTTTGAAGTGTGTCAAAGGAACTCAAAAGAGCAGACCTGCATCTTACCCAAGGCAGCCATGTATAAGAGAACAGAGTTCCTTTTCCTCTTCATTTGATTTCATTTTCTGCATCACTGGTGGAGGAGGGTATTTGGAAACCAGCACTGTGAAACTGCCTCTGTCCCTTCCTTCCCAACCACTTGTGGAGGTTTGAAGCAAGAAGAAAAAGAACAAAGGAAAAGAATATAGGATATCTCATGGCTTCTGTGGCAGCTGGCAGAGCTGGCCAGCACTGAGGGCAGGTTACTGCAGTGGACTTGGAGCGGGGTAGAAGACTGAGACAGAAACCATGACCCCACGTAACAGTTCTTCCTCAGTTGTGTACTTAGAGCAGAGTAGCTGTGTAGCTGTGGATATCTCCTTTCGTCTAGTTACTTCCATGGTAGTTACTAGCTTGTATTCAAAGATACCTTTCTTCTGCCCTCTTTTTTTTTCTAAATAAGATGCTCAATGCTGTGCTCTCTCACTAATCACATTGTTACAATCCTGGTGTACTTGCAATAATTTTGAAGACCTGATTCCACCTTGCAGGATGCAAGCCTGATGGTTTTTTGATTAATGAATTGTCTGATCGTAACTACTTAAAATGAGCTGTAAGTAATGTCTGTGTGAAGCATGGCATGCAGAAATGTATTGCCTAAGTAGTGTACCTTAAAGACATCTTGTCATTATTTTGGTTCCACTGGGGAACTTCTTCTCATTTCTTGGATCAATTAGGATTTCTATGTGTGGTCTGAGCATGATGACACTGTCCTATGCTACTGTTTATTTTAGCTGTGTTGGTAAAGAACAGGCAACCTTCTTTTCACTTCAGCAATGTGGGCTGAGTTCACCTGCATTGAAGTTATATGAGGCTGAATTGGGCTCTGCTTGTTAATAAGAAGTGTGCTGTTCAATGCAGAAAGCCTTTTTGTTTATTTGTGTTCCAAAAGAAAGCATGGCTTGCACAGCATTTCATAGAGTAAAAATCACATGTAGCCACTTGTCTTCATATGTGTGTGCACTTAAAACTGATGTGAACAACCATAAGTAAATCAGGACCCCACGCCAACCAATTTGTGTGGATTTATTTATTTATTTTTTTATTATTAAATTATTAATTTTTTCCCCCTCTCAGGTATAAATTGAATTCTCTATATCCATGTCCCATTAGGTCAAAGGCATATTCATATGTTGTTTTGTCCTTGTCTATATAGGTAAAGGATTGCAAGGGCATAGGTGTTTGCTTGCAGGGAGTCAGCTAGGAATTCTTCTTGTAGAGAGAAGGTAGGTCTCTCAGCTGATGTACCTGCTGCCTGTGCTGAGCTCCAAACACCATTTTGGGAGTAGCAGAAAAGGGGATGGGAGTATGTTTACCTCTCTGAATTTCCAGTGACTTATGTTCCATTACAGATTGCAGTCATACAGTCTAAACTGCACAAGTTCTGAGCTGTCATGACATTTGACAGAAGATGGTCCACAGAGCTGGGGAGTCACTGAGCTAAAGAAGTCTTGTCACAGGCGAAGTTTTAAGGCCTTTGTGAAATGAAAGAGACATTGATGGGAGAATGTTGGCTGACAGCAAGGGATGGAAGAGAGTCTTGCAGTCTGACTGCAGATTATTTTCTAAGCTTTCTCAGCCTTTTGGCTGCCAGTATGGGTTAAAGAGTAGTTAATGTAACTTTATAGATGAACTGAATTGCTCTTGCAATTCGTAGGTTCACATCTATTTCATGATCTCAAGTTTCTGCTGAACTGGGTGACATGCTTACTGAGAATGTGAGTATTCATTAGTGTGAAATCTTGAATCCAAGCAATTACAGAGACATGGGTGAACAGAGCTGGTGTGTGAATTGTCTGCAAGTAAACTCACTGAGTGCTATTCCTAGAGCACATATTTGAGTCATTTTCTAAGAATGTAACATTACTTCATTTTATTGGATAATTATATAGGTCCAAATTGCATTTTCTTTCTGACTTCCAGGTTGTTGTGGGAGATAAAGTTGTCCTCATGCCAGTCAATGCAGGGCAGCCTCTACATGCCAGCAACATTGAGCTTCTAGATAACCCTGGGTGCAAAGAGGTGAGACCAGTAGAGGGAGGAGGGGAATTGCTGATCGAAGATGTATTATATATTGTTCTTTACTGATAACCAGAACCTACCATGAACCCACCATGGGCTAGATGCCAGTATAAAACACTGGTTCCAGCTTGGCCTCAAAAACCCAACACAAAATATGCTTAATCTTGGTACAGTTCTTCCTGGCTCTGAAAGCTTTGTGAGTTTTGTTTGAGTATCTGGAACTCTCACTGATGTCCAACAGCTCTGTAGGTTGTCTTTGGTAGCATGTCAACAGACAGAATAGCATTTTTCCCACTGAAGCTTCTCCATTATCAACATCATTATTATTAACACTTGAGAGCTTCAGGATCCATGTTAGAAACTGTACAAATACGTAGCTAAGCCATGTCCCCTGCCATGATAGATGTGTGTGGTCTTATTGAAGAGTAGGATGTCTGAAAAAGAAAAGAACACCCCTTAAGATTATAATTGTGATGGTTTGCTTTTGTGTTTTGTTGTTTGGTTTTTTTTTGCCCCAAAGGTGAATGCTGTCAACTGTAACACAAGCTGGAAAATAACTTTGTTTATGAAATTCAGCAGTTACCGGGACGATGTACTGAAAGGAGTAAGTATGATTTTTTAAAATTGGTTTTTGAATCTGAAAAATGCCTTATGTAACTGTAGAGAAATAATACATGGTAAATAAAAGAAGAAATGAGGACTTTATGGAGCTCTTGAGGATCCCTCACTACTGTCCTTCAACAGCCAGAAAGTTTTTCCTTTGTGTTATTGACTTACTAAGTGAAATTGTCTGGATTGCGCTAGCTTTCTGCCCCTTTCCTCTCCCAAAGACAACTCAGGATCCACGAGGAAAGATGGAGTTCAAGCCCAGAATGATGAGGGCTCTGTTCAGAATAGCTGTGGCACTTCAGTTTATGCCAAGATGCTAAAAGCAGGTATAAGATGCTTACAGAAGGGAGTGAAAAATGACAAGAGCTGTAATAAGACAATGTAGCTTTAAATGCTGAGGGATTGCACAGCTTCCTACCTCCAGATCACTCCCAGAGATTTACTTTTTCATTTTAAGGAAATGAAGTTAATTGCTCCTCACTTGGCATTATCAACTGGCTATTTTTCAGTAGGTATCAAGGTATCATCAGTTTTTGAGGAAGAATTTGAAAGAAATACTGTTTGGGGATAGTATTTAAAGAACTGGGGAGAGGCAGCAGGCGGAAAAAATGATACCAGCAGAAGAAATAGGGGGCATCACTTTTGGTTGCAGAGTAGAAGAGATGAGGTATGCTGTTAGAAAAATCTGTTTACTTTCCCTAAATACTAAGAGAGATTACTTTTTTTAAAAAATTTCTAATGTTAGCTAGAACTAAAAATCACCTTTAGGTTAATTGTTACTCACTATTCAGTGCAGTGCTCTGAAACAAATTCTGTTTTCACAAAAGTGCATGGGTCTCCTTACAGGACTGAATTACCTCATTTGATTTCCAGACTCAGTGCCAAGATAGTGTGACCTGCACTTGGTACCTGCTCCAGCAGTAGGAAACTAATAAATGTTATCTTCACATGAACTATGTTGATGTCACTGGAGCTGGTACAGTTATAGAGAATAAGTCTAGCAGCTTTGCCTACCACTTAATAATGCTTCTTTTTCATATTACTTTAGGGAGATGTTGTTAGGCTTTTTCATGCAGAGCAAGAGAAGTTTCTGACCTGTGACGAATATGAGAAGAAACAGCATATTTTCCTTCGTACTACATTACGTCAGTCAGCCACTTCTGCAACAAGTTCTAAAGCACTGTGGGAAATAGAGGTATTTTTTTTCTTTATAAATATTTTAGGACCTGAAGGCCAGGGTTCAGTAAAAATACTTTACCACAATATGAATCATTCATAGCCTCTTGATATCGTCATACGCCTCCCCATAACTATTATTATTTTATGAAGCGGTTTGTGTAGGCTGATCACTGAAGAGATGCTTTACTGTTGTGCATGCGTGGAGAGAGGATGCTTTCTTGCTATATTTACCTGCACTAAAATGACAGAGTCAAATTCAGTCTTGACATAAACGGTGCGATTTTATCAAAGTCAATCAAATGACATTCGTATATCCTGGGTTCTGAGTGTTTATATTTGACTTCATGTACAAAATAGAAAATTGAAATCCATGACTGAGAAGAAATCTCACAAATGTGATCGAGTCCATTCTTCTGCAACACTGCACATCAACATCTGTTAAAGTTAGGCTGAATAAAGGTGTTGTTGCTGAATGGGGGTGACTAGCAAATGTATTTTTGTTTAACTGGAGACCTTTGGAAACTGGTATGTCTCAAACCTTTGCTATTACAATAATGTAACTCCTATACCCAAAAGTTCTTAGGTGCTGAACAAACTTTGTGCATTTAAAACAGAGCTCCTCACTCAGGTCAATGGCTGATTTTTATCTGAGAAAGTACTGAATGGAATAGAGTATATTGCACTTAAAGTTATTTGAGATCACCCCATAAGAGAGACAGACACTGTGATGTTTGAAAGTAGCAAGTGACCTACAGCTCAGTCAAGGGCAAAAAGAAATAACCAGCATATTTCAAATTATATGGGTATGTTTTATCTCTTGAATAGAGATTTATCAGAAGCCCCTAGTGTTGTCAAAAATGGAGCTGGTGTAAGTGGTGGAACAATGTAAGACAGTTTGGGTTTTGCCTTTGTAAGTGTAGAGCAGCTACACTTACTTTCTTGTGCTCTATGTTACTATGTCACTTTAAAGCAAAATTTGACTCGTTATGTTTGTAGGAAGTAAATTAATGAAACCATGGAAAGTAATAGGAGCTGTATTTCCTGGCACCTAGCAAAAATAGATGTAAGGAGCTGTTTATCTGTGGTGGGCTTAGTGTGAGCACGGAATTCCTTTCTATGGTAGACTGTAATTATGTGGTTTACATGTTTTTATTTGAAATGAGCTGTAAGAAATGTAAGTGATCTAAGTATAATCTTGAGAGACATAATTAAAATCTGTACTACTTCTTTTAGGTTGTCCATCATGACCCTTGCCGGGGAGGGGCAGGACAGTGGAATAGCTTATTTAGATTTAAGCATTTGGCAACTGGAAACTACTTAGCTGCAGAGGTAAGAATGTCAATTAAACAAGTGGTTGTGTACTGCCTAACCAAGTACTGTATATATCCTGCTAATTCAGAACTTCCATAGTAGGTAGTTTCACAATGTAGGTCTCCAAAAAGATCTCACATGGGGTCTAAATGGGGAGAATTGGATGTGCATTGCTATGTCGTGCTGTATTGCTGTTGCAAGGAAAATTTTCTGAGCTACAGGACACAAGTAGGTGAGTTTAAGACAGCATCTAACCTTATATTCAACTGTGTTGTTGAATCTTGTATCTGCTGTTGTCATGGCAGCCAGGGCTAACACCACTGTTAAATATCCACATCCTCCATATTTACACCAAAATCTTTGTATTCATTTATCTCTCTGCACTTGTTTGCCTTTGATTTTTGGAGTAGTGTTGTGATCAGTCAAGTGTTCTTCTCTGCTGGTTCAGGCAGTCATATACAGAGTAAAGCTTTGAGAGTGGAACTGAATGTAAGATAATCGTTGAGCTTGATCAGAGCAGTCTGTGTGCAAGCACTAGAACAGATAACGCTAAACTGCTCTAAGTTGGGAGCTGTCATTCCCTTTTTTCCTACAGGCTCTAGATTTCTCTTAGAAAAATGAAGTTTCTGTGGTGCTGATTTCAGTGTATTGGTCTGTGCCAGCCAGCATGTGGTCCAAGGCATCTCTGTGCTCTGTAGAAACTTGAGAAAGGACAAACTTGTATACTGGTGTCAAGAGTCAACCAGTACTCCCATGTAAAAGAGACATTTCCATTTTCCTCTCTGCTTACAGTGAGAGATCCTAGTAGAGAGATTTTATTCAAACTAGCTGGACTGATGGAGAGTCAGGGAAGACATCAAGCACTCTGACTGATGGGCTTCCTTCTCCTGCCATACCTCGTCTGCTCAGGGGTTTTCAGGATAAAAATCTTTAGGTGAAGAGGTGTCACACTACACTGAATGTCAAACCTGAGCTTAGGTCTTTTCTGCCTCTGAAAAGGAAATCCCCATCGAGAAGACTCGCAATATGGAGAGTGCAGTTGGCACAGTAGAGTGAGAGCTGGAAGAGCATTTGGGTGGAAGAGAGGTGACTGGAGAGAGCAGAATTAGCTGCTGTATCTAAAATACCTGCTGGTGGAGATATTAAAGGTGCCACTGTCATAAAAACCTGCGAACTGTATTTTACACAGTTTGTATCAGGCACAACACACCAGCCAGACATACATGTCAAAGATTTATGAACAGGCAGGCAGACACCTAATGTGTGTGAGATAACTTTAAATCAGTTGGGCAAAGCTTACTGAACACTTATCTGCACTCTTGCAGCACAGGAAGATTATTCATGGTATGGGTTATCAGCAGCATCACACTTTACCATGACCTATCTTTGTTTAACCTTCCATAATAAAGATATCTAGGGTTGAATAGTAAGTACAAACATATAAACAAAATTCACAAATCTTTTAAGCATTCTGTCGTTGGTTAATGGTATAATTTCTGTCACAATTTGAGCTATTGTAGATCAGGATTGATAACTGTTGATGGCCATGTTTTCCTTGCTTCATCCTTGCGTAAATTGACTTGATGTGTACCATGGAGTCTTCCACAGTGGATTCTGGCATGGGTCAAGTCTCAGACAATAAGCAGGAGTCTCCTTCACCTGGGTGTCTCCTTTTGCTCCTCCCATTTAAACTTGTACCAGTGCTGTGCCTTCTCTTTCCTCTGAGGCTTCCTGTGCCAGATGTAACTGGTCAGTCTGATTTGTGACTCAGTGGGTCATTATGAAGCCATATTGTGAAGGGATGCTGCTGCAGCTTGTTAAGGTCAGAAAATTCAGGACACTTGCCCCAAAAAATTCAGGAATTTAAAACAAATAAACTCAAAGGTGTTTCAGCACTACAGTAAGTTTAAAAAAAAACAACAAAGAAAGAAAAAGCAACAGTGAGACAAAACAGTTGTTCAGTAAACGAAACATATAGGTGAGTACTTGTAAATCTAGTTCTTATAAACTTAAAAGAATGAAGCCAGGATGTGAAAGACCTGAATTCCATATTCCTAAGTATCACAACCAGTTGTCCAATGACTAAGAGTCCTTCAATACCTCTGAATTCTGACACAGTCTCAAGTAGTGACATTTCGTTTAATCCTATTTCCTCTTGACTTTACTTAGGCTAATTTTCATTAATATGCTTTGAAGTTCTTTAAGACCTAAATAATACCATAAAGCAACCTAGACCCTACTACTAGACTACAGGCTGAAAGTCAGCTACCCTGAAAGACTCACCTCTAAAGGAGACCCAGTGGAAGACATTTGCTAATTGCACTGCTGCATTGTCATTTCCCTGCTGCTATGCACATCCTGAGGATATAGTCTGACATATCAGATATGTGTATGCTTTTACACAGTTACTTAGGGCACAGGAGGGATATGCTGAAGTAAGGGTTTCATGTCTGGTGGTAAGACTTGGGACATCAGAAATCTGCATAGGTGGTAATGTCTCCTACATGACCAGCATTTGGAAACCTGAAGCCACTGGCTCAGGAATTCCTAAAACATTGAAATAATAGAAAGTGGAACCAAATGCTCAGCTGTAAAATTGGAAAGAAAAATTCTCCTCTTTGGAGACAGTGGGAGTTCTGCTGTTAGTGTCAGAAGGGCTTGATTTCACCCGAAAGAGCCGAGCGAGATCCTTAGCAGGAGGTTTTGACACTACACTAAGCCACCAGCTAAGATCCAGGCTGCTGAGTTTTATTCTCATCTTCACAGAGTCAGCAGTCTTTTAGAAAAAGTTCTGTAGAAGATTCTATTTTTTTAGCCCTGGTTACAGCAAAATGACCCAAGTTATTTTGAAGCTTTATATTTATAAAGAGAGGCTGTAAGGTTAGGTGAAAATTGAATGCTTCAAAGTAACAAAGACTTTCCCAGATTTATTTTTTTTAAAGTCTTTTCAGTGCATATGCCACATGTAGAACGCACCCAAAACTATCCGTGTGGGGGAGTGACCTGCAATTTGTTGGAACAGCCTTTCAAATGCTGCAGGTTGGGACCACACAGCTGTGCCTTTCTCATGAACACACTAACCTTTTCAATATTCTAATCGCCAGGATAAAAGTCTCTTTGAACTGCATATCAGCTTATCAACTGTGCTGAACCAAAATGTGTACCTTTAATATTGTTCTCCATGTGCATAGCAGCTCCAATTCTGTGATTTTTAAACTGAATAATCTGTACTGAAACTATTAACACTTGGCTGTGTGAGGATGCTAAACAGAAATATGTGTGCCCATGCATACAAGAAATGCAGGATAAGTCTGTCATTTCATATTATATTTCTCAGGTGAGATGGATATTGCTGAAAAACCACAAAATATATATGCAAATATCAAATCACATGCTAGTTTCAGATATTGCAGTAGCCAATATATAAACCACATTATGTTGCTTGTGAAATATTGTGAACATGTACGTAATCATAGTCCAGAATTTGTAAGGATAATTCTGTCTTGTTTGGTTGAATAGACTAAACTAGAATTACTAGATACCTTGGCCAAGATAGGACAGTACATCTGGTGAGGTAATTGTCTTTAACACTGAGTTAACTCTGCTATACTAAGTGAATTAAAATAATGCAGGTAAGATGCAGTCTTAATGTTTATGTTCTGTGATACTATAAAATTGTGGCCTTAAACAAGGTTTTAAATTATTATTGTGTCTTCCAAGGAAGTGCATATAGTACTGATGTTGCTCAAAAAGGTAATCTGTGCTCTGAAGTTCTTCTAGATGAAAGGGAAGAATGAGAGCACGCTGGCCAAGACAATAGGTTGAAGCAATGAGCTCATAGGTAATGACAGAAGCAAACATACTTTTTCTTGCTTCCACACCAAATTGTTGCTCATATGAAAGCCCTTATTGAGTAAAGCTCTCAGGAGTAGCTTTGTCTTTGAAGTCAATGGAGCATAAGCATTTATGTGTTCAGGGACCAAGAGTGTCTTAAATATTGACCTAATGGGTTTGGACTTCCTCTAACAGTTTTCACTTGTGCAGCCACCCCCCGGACTTCTTTGACCATTGCAGGACTGAAGTTTCCACAACAGCCACTTTTAACTTCTGCATATGAATATACTTCAGAAATGGCTTGTACAGGATGATTGGAGTGGCAAACTCTTTAGCACATATTCTGATGATGGATAAGTCGTAGACATAAAGCTCTCCACTAGTGAGCTGTTTTGGACAGAAGTAACAACCTGATGTGCATCCCGAATGCATGTCCCACTGGAAAAATGGTTTTCTTCTGGGGTTTACTTTCTTCTTTCTGCAAGAGTGAAAGTGCAGGCTCTAAGCTATAAATGGATCAATTCTGATCAAAGTTTTGTTCTAAACTCTTCCATTAAAATCCCACATGGAACATACTTCCAGCTTTGGGATTACTTTATTATTAGATGCTCAGTGGGTGTTCTTTTGAAGGTAGGAATGATTGAAGCCAGTTGGCCTGAGCAGCACAGGGTTATGTGCACGTGAGATAAAATGACAATTATATTGATATTCTAAACTGGTCAGGAAGCCCAGTCCGACCCACCAAGGCTGTAGGTCAATGATAAAAGCACTTCAGTGGCAATGTAGATTTGGAGAAATGTGTTTCCACAAGTATTTGACTGTGCTCCTGTGAAACAAAGGACCGTACCTGAGATGGTGTAGGTATGGACAGCAGGGTGCAGGGAAGAGGGAATAGTCTGTGCTTTAAACAGGGTTACTTCAAACTAGGCAAAGCACCAGGGTCGCAAGTGGTTGGGATGGGTTAACAGGAGCTGCTGAAGTCAGCATCAAAGGGCCTTACCTTGTTGGACTGTCAGCTGGATTTCACCTTGTGGTACTGTAAACCACCTGCTGAGAACTCTTGAATCAATGGGCAATAAAAATTACTCGTATTTCTCTAGTTTTTCTTTAATAATTTCTTCCCATATTATCTCACTCTACTTTTCTGTCAAAATTGCCCAAGTTTCTTTTCAGAGAATCTTATG